TTCTTTGATCAATGGAAGGAAGGCATGTTGGTCCTTGGAGCTGCCACGTAGTGTGTGTGTGTGGAGGGGTGATCATCCAAAGCATGGGGTCCTGTGGGCTGAACCAAAATTTGCCAGATTCTTGCCTGGGGAGGGGCTGAGTGGCAAAGCTGGCTGTGGTGCAGTGGGAGGGCTGAGCTCAGTCCCAGGCTGGAGAGGGCACATCCTCCAACCTCTGGGACCTCTTTTGGGAAGGACTAGAAGGTCATCTCTACAGGGCCCCCAGCAGGCAAATGCCTAGAGCTTCATTGTTCCTCATCTTAAGGCAGGAGATTATTCTTCACTTAAAGAGGGGTGAGATCCAGAGCAAGGCCAGAGGGTTGCAGGGCCTGGCAGACCCCTTGCTAGGGGGCAGTCCTGCTTGCTCTTCAGGGTTTAACCTTCACCGTGTCTTTACAGCCTGATGCTAGAGAGTTCAAGATCTCAGGCCTCCGAGGACTCCCGTCTGATCCTGTAGTGAGACCACAACATTCCATGGCTGCAGATGACTGGGTCACGGGTACCCTTTTCCTGGGAACAAGAACTATGGCAGACGAAGATGCATAGAGGTGACCTGGGTCACAGGCAGAGTCTTTGTCCCCTCCTGCTGAGGGCAGGGGTTGTTGACTGGACATTCCGCTGACCTTGGTCCAAAGTCCAGGGCACAGGGTAAAGTGGGTGAAGAGTCCTTTACTCCCTGTCCCTGTTTACCAATGACTTTGGAACTGTGTCCACTTGGATCCTCCCTAAGCCTGGGACCTGTCCAGCCCTCTGAGAAGCTGTAAGCAATAGGGTGCTGGCTGTCTCAGACCTCTCAGGACCTGACTGCTGACTGCTGTCCTGGCCCAGCACAGCTCCCACTGAGGGGATACTTAAGGCTCTGTTCAGTGCTCTGACACCGAGTTCTGTGACCTTGGTCACGTGGCATGACCATAGTCTTCCTGATAAGAGTGTTAATTCGTTGTGGCCAAATGCTGTCAATGTATATGTCACTGGAGAGGGAATCAAAGAGACCAGTGTCATCACAATCGCCCCCCTATGAGTCCTCGATGCAGCTGGGAAGCAAGGATGTGAGTCTCCTAGTTTGTCCAGATGCAATGTAAATTTCCAGCATCCAAGTGACTCAGCTCCTGGATTAGCACTTTGCTCCAGTCAGTAGCAGAGGAACCAGGGTCCTGGGTGTATGTGTGTGTGTGTACATATGAGTGGGCATGTGAGTGTATGCATGGATGTGAGTGTACGTTTATATGTGTGAGTGTTTATGTGTGTACTTGTGAGAGCACGTGAGTATGTGTGGTGCATGTGAGTGTGTGTGTACATGGATGCGAGTGTGTGTGTATGTGAACACAAGTTAGGATCTGTGGCTACTAACCCTGGCTGTACCATCGTCTTGCTTCATGACCTTGAAATTATCATTTCTTTACCATGAACCCAGTTCCTTGCCTCTGACAGTTAAGAGCTGGCCCTCTGATCTTGGGACACACACACACACACACACACACACACACACAACACGCACATGTACATTTTTCCATATCTGTTGGCAAGGAGGGAAGGGGCAGCTAGAAGGCTGATGTTGCAGCATCACAGGTGGCCACTGAGTCCACCTGAGACTGGGCTTTGTGAGGTGGGGCAGAGAGGGAGCCTTTGTCTCATACTCAATGGCCAAAGCTTTTCTGAAGACAGTGGCCACTGCCAGGCAGTGTCCAATAGGAGGAGTGAGGACACATGCTTCATCCACGCAGTCACTTAGCCTGGCTCCCAGGCTCAGTGGTGCTACCAATTCACTGCCTGGTTTTGGACCAGTGTGATGCTCTGAGCCTTTTCTGACTTAATACATGATGAACTTGTAGATATCACATTGTTACAGCTGTCAGTTATAAATTATTTAACCTTAAATTTACTTTTTTTGTTTATTCCTTCATTCGTTGAGGATCTTATGTATTGCAGGTTGGACTTCAACTCACTATGTAGCCAAGGATGACTTTGCACTCCTGATCATCCTGCCTTCACCTCTCAAGTGCTGGATTATAGGCACGTGCTGCCACCTTTGTGCGGTGCAGGGGGAGCAAACACAGGGCTTTGTGCATGCTATGCAAGCATGCTACCAACTGAGCGACATTCACAGCCCCTGAATGTCCTTTAGAATAGAGTGGGGGACAAGAGGAAAGGCCGAGACCTACTTCTCTGTCAGTGATATTGTGACAGATGAGCAGGTCCCAAAGTGCCCTGGAGAATCTGGGCTGTAAAGAAGTGCCAGGCAAACAGGATCTGGTGTGGAATGAGTTTGTGTGGCACTGGCTTACCTAAAAATAAGCCGTGGTTTTGCTGCAGGACTTCCCAGGACCTTTACTGCATTAAGAATTTTGTGGCCGGGCGGTGGTGGCGCACGCCTTTAATCCCAGCACTCGGGAGGCAGAGGCAGGCGGATCTCTGGGAGTTCGAGACCAGCCTGGTCTACAAGAGCCAATTCCAGGACAGGCTCCCAAACCACAGAGAAACCCTGTCTCGAAAAACCAAAAAAAAAAAAAAAGAATTTTGTGGAGTTCCAACAAAGGGTGTCGTGTGCAGCCTTCTGTAACATTCATTTGACCATGGCCCGCCCTAATCTTCCCTCTGGTGTTCTGAGACAGGCTACAGGCACACTGACCCCAAACTCACGTCAATCTCCCTGCCTTAGCTTCCTTCAGTGGAGATTACAGATGTGAGTCACCCTGCTAAGCACCTTTGCTATGAGTCACCTGCTGCATGCTTAGAGAGGAGCTGTCATTGCAACCTTCTTTTTCTCTTGGCTCCCAGGAAGCTTATTCCCACTGATGCTCATCCAAATCACCACGCTGGAGCTTAGGACATTTGTTCCCACTCTGTGTCCGGGGCAGATTTGCAACTTCTGTTTCCTTGTGTGTGTGTTTTCCAGTTAAGCTAGCCTCACAGGTAAGGAGGATGGGCCTGGCAGTGTCTAAACATGGAGATCCTGTGGTAGTGCTGCGCTCTGGGGAGCAGTGGGTGGGGCTGGGGCGCGGGTCCCCTCTGGGAATCCCTGCCACATCTGTTTGTGGTAGCTTTGCCCAGACGATGTTGAAAGCAGTGCAAGAGCCGTCATGTTTGTGTCCTGAAAGCACTGCGTAAGAAAGTACAAGTGACCTTGTGCCGGCCACCGCTGACCTCCAGAAGGACCCACCTCTGCTGACGCTGCATTTCATAGAGCTAAGAAAGGCAGGAGCTGGAGGCCTTTGAGCCCTGATTGTATGAAGCAGATTTTAGGAGTGGGTGAGCCAGGGTTCTGCTGTGCCCACCCCGAGAGCAGTCGATTACCCATGAGCCTGTCCTAAAACCGTGGGACGGCCAGGGGTGCATCATAGGAAGGCTGGCTGTATCCTGGAGAGGTCACAGGTTTTCCTCCTTTTTTCTTTGAGCCCAAAACCTCCCCACAAATATGTTCCCGCGTCTCTTCAGTGGGTCTAAGTAGGTAGAAGGGGAGATCAGGGAAGCATGTGCCCGGCCCCAGGCCCTTGTCCTCTAGTGCGCGTCAATCTGAAGACAGCAAGCTATGGGTGGGTAAAGCGATTCAACCGAGTGGATCACGGCTGGCATTTATACAAGGAATGGCTATGCACATATTGGATGTAGGGGGGTGGTTATGAGTCATGCTGTGCCGAGAGATCGTGGTGCTGAACATATTACTATGGCTCATGCTCAGGGAAGCCTGGAAGCCATTGGCTAGTGATTCAGGTGCTGGCACCAATGGGCAGGGTCCATCTGCTTCCTACACATCTGTCTCAGGCTCTAAGGTCCGTTCCCAAGCCTGAGGTGTCCCTCTAGATGCTGAGAAAAATACCCTAAAGACAATGACTTGTGATGTGCCCCTTTTGAAAGAGATAATCTATATGTGTGTGTCTGTCAGGTCATTGGGGGAGGGGCCTTAGCTAAAAGAGAAGCTGGGTTTCGTCCTGTTTGACTTTTCAGGCCAGGTGAGGCGGGAAAAGTGGGGAAGTTGTCATTCGCGGCCGTGTGACCCAGGGCACGTACTTTGCCCTCGTTGGCCTCAGTTTACTTATGCACAGCGGGAGGACAGGATCCAGTCATTTCTAAGGTCCTGTTCTCATGGTCTATTCCAGGATGAAATCGAAAAGATGCAGATCTTCTGAGACATTATTTACCGAGGGAAGCCAGGCTTAACTCCCGGGTTTCTACACAAGGCTCCTCAAGCAGCCTGTCAGCCCGAGGGAAATTCTCTAGCCGTGTTTGTAGGCACTGGTGGGGCAGGGTGACCAATGACAGAGGAGCGGGAACCAGAGCCTGGTCTCCATGGACAGCATTTATTAGGCGCCAATCTCAGTGTGAAGACAGATGGGCAGGAGCTGCTGAGGGGGGCCAGGGCAGCCACAGCCTGGGGACTCAGGGGCTGCCCAGGTGGGTGTGGGGCATGTCACCCACACATATTGCATATTCTGTGGCAGTGTGCCCAGGCATAAGGCATTGGGGAAGCAGAAAGGCTGTCTGCAGTGGGAGGGGGTGAGACAGGAAGTGACAGTGGCCTTCTAGTTCCCTAGGCAAGACCCTACAGGAGACAAGCAGTCCCCCATGCTCAGACCCCTAGGGCCACTCGCTGCCTTCCCCACCCTCTCTGTAACTTTGGTTGTGGCTCCCTCGGATCTGACGGGACTTGACCCCTCGAGGGCAGGGTCACACACAGGACAGGGGCAGCAAGTGCCGCCTCTGGCCCAACATAAACACAGACAGCACCTCTCCAGCTCCTGGGTCCCACTCGTCTTGGCACATGGGCCAGCTCTTCCACATGGACACGGGATACACAGAAGTCACAGTCCTTCCACCTAGGGGTCTCCAGGGCCTGGAGGACATGGTGGGGCTCTCTCTGTAGCTTCCCAAGTGGTCAGGCTGGCCTTACTCAGCAGTAAGGAGCCGGGCTTGGGAACAGTGAGTGAAGGCTGCTGGGGGGGGTCCCCCTTTTCCTGGTGCCGGGGATCAGACTCAGGGCCTCAAGCACACTAAGAAAGTGCTTTACCTCTGAGCCATACCCACAGCCCCACACATACCCTTCTGTTGTCCTGGGCACTGTCCCTCTTCCAGCTTGTCCCCACTAGCAAGCCAACAGTCTGCCACCCTCCACCTGGGTCACAGATGGAGGAGGTAGAAGGTATACCAGGTCCTATGCCTTCTCTCCCCCAGAGGGGTGTTCCTGGCTATAGTGGAAGCCTTACTCTCGCAACTTAGGATGCAGGTACCCACCCTGGCTTCTGGTCCAGGGATAATGTCCCAGGTTATACCTGCCAGCTGTCTGGGCTGCTCTGCCCAATCCCTGAACTCTCAGAGTGTCAACTCCTGGCTTTTAGTCCATGAGACTCAGTCCTGCTTACCTGGGTCCCAAAGACTTCCCTGCTTGCGAACAGAGACAAGAGTCCATTTAGAGCCGCAGTCTCTGGGCTAAGAGTAGCAGAGGCAGAGCCATGGCAGGGGGGCTCTGACTAGGGTTTTAGATTTCTAGTTTAAGCCCCAGCTGCCTACACAAGGCCAGGGTGTTGCCTGCAGGGGCTTTGCTTCTGAGAGCAGGCTGGGCCAGAAAGAAGAGCACTTGGGCTGGGAACAAGTCTGCAGGTTCTCGTTCCCCTTCAAGACTTGCATCACCCCGGGCAAGTAATTTTTTACCTGTTTTCCTCTTCTGAAAAAATGGCCATAAGAATTGCCCAGGTGACCTAACCGGAGTGTTAGTACACTCACGTGAATGAGTAGGTGGACAGGTTTCCGGTGCTAAAAATCACTATAAATGGAAGAGGAGGTGAGCAGCAGCAACAGCAGCCAGGGACAGACAGCAAGCGGGAGTCTGTGTTTCCCATTCCAAGGGCAGTCCTGAAGGCTGGAGTCTCCCAGGAGCCCTGAGCACAGCATCAGACTCCAGATAGCTCACCTATGGATGTGGCCACCTTGTAGAATTGGAAGCCACAGTTTCTGCACTTACTCGGCTCTAACTCCTGTGGCCCACCATTTCCCTTTTTCCTGTCCTGCTCCCTGGGGACTAGCTTTAGAGACTGCTGGGATTTCCTTTTTTTTTTCTTCCATAACTGCATAGCCATGCAAAAAAAAAAAGACACAGAAGGTAGTGGAAGGCTGGGAGACATGGCTGGGGATGAGAGAGCAAGGTGGGACTGAGTGGGGGTGACCTGGACAAAGACACTGTGGGCTTTGGAGAGCTCAGGGGAGGTATAAGTAGAGATTGAAAAGAAGAAGAAGAAGAAGAAGAAGAAGAAGAAGAAGAAGAAGAAGAAGAAGAAGAAGAAGAAGAAGAAGAAGAAGAAGAAGAAGAAGAAGAAGAAGAAGAAGAAGAAGAAGAAGAAGAAGAAGAAGAAGAAGAAGAAGAAGAAGAAGAAGAAGAAGAAGGAGAAAACCAGAAAACAAAAAACAACCGAGAACAGAAGTCCCCTTGGGAGGTAAGGGTTCTGGGTTCCAGCAGAGCCTCTGAGGACTGGGGAGCTTCTCAGATTCCTGAAAGATTCCCAGTGGCTGCCTTCCCCACCTCCCAAGTTTCACATTTCTCGGAATTCGTTGGGCTCGGAAAGGGGCTCCAGGGGTCCTCAGAGCCCGACCTCCTGTTGGCTGGTACAAGCCCGCACAGTTGGAGATTAGGGGCTGGGGAAGAATAGAGGTGGTAATGGTGGACTGGGGACTTCCCACGGGGCCCAAAGGCGTCTTTTTGGGGAGGCCTCCCGGTCAACTCCTGCGGCTTCTGCAGGCAGGACCCCCACCCCGCTGGCTCACAGGTACTCTAGGCCTGGCTGTGGTTCACACCGAGCTCCTGCGCTTCATGAGGCCACGGAAGGTAGCCAGGCTGTGCAGGCCCGTGGACACCGAGCTGATGGCCGAGCGCTGCGTCCCGCTGCACAGGCAAGGGTGTGAGGGCGTGTCGCTGTAGCGGCCACCGCCTCCTGGCGACGAGTGGCTGTGCTCCACGCATGTGTCGGACGTGGAGAGGTCCCGCGGGATGATCATAGGGATGGAGTACTGCAGCTTCTCCCGGCTCTTGTACCACAGGCATGAGCACATGGACTGGAAGTGCAGCACCTCAGCGTAGACATTGCGGAAGCCGCTGCCACCCACGCCCATGCTGCCCGCGGCTGCTGGGCACATGACTGGGTCGCGGGGACGCACGCTGTCGTTCAGGCTACCGCTCAGGCAGCTCAGGCCACCCAGGCCACCAGCCTGGCCGTTGTGCGTGAGCAGGGCACGGTGCTCCGCATCACGCTTCTCGTCCTCGGCGTTCATGGTCATGAATCGCAGCACCACAAGGTTGAGGAAGGCGCCGATGACCGTGAGGCCCGTGAGGATGTACACGAAGCTGAAGGCCACATACTGTGGCTGCGTCTGCAGCGCCTGGTCCTTCTGCAGCGCCACGTAGTCGCCGAAGCCGATGGTGGTGAGCGTGATGAAGCAGTAGTAATAGGCCTGGAAGAAGGTCCAGCGCTCGTAGTAGGAGAAGGCAGCAGCGCCAATGCACAGGGTGCTGATGCACGACACGAAGCCGATGAGCACCATGTTGGCCATGGACACCTCGGCGTGCCGCATGCCCAGCCCCCTCTTGGCACGATGCAGCAGGTACCTCACCAAGGTATTGATGCGCTCACCTAGGCTCTGGAACATGACAAGTGTGAGCGGGATCCCCAGCAGCGCGTAGAACATGCAGAACACCTTGCCACCATCTGTGCTGGGCGCTGCGTGGCCATAGCCTGTGAGAGAGGAGAGAAAGCACACACTGTGGGGCTGACCTGGCCGGGGTCCTTCCTCCTCTGCCTGCCCCCTCCACTCCTCGCCTTGCAGGTTCTCGATCTACCTCCCCACCTCACTTCATTTTTTGCTAGATAGGGAGCCATGGCTAGCCTGGGTCTCTGACTATGTAGATCTGGCTGGCTTTGAACTCATATCGGTCTTCCTGTCTCTGCTTTCCAAGTGCTAGGGTTACAGGCATGCACCTCTATGTCTGCCACAACAGCTGGCTACTGAGTCTGCCTTTCAATGCATGGGCACATTCATGTCCTGTTGCTTTGGGCGACAAACTCATTGTATCACTGGAAATGCTCAGATGATAATCCCAGACAGCCAAGAGAACTCAGTGACTTTCCAGGCCACGCTGTTGGGAAGTTTTGCAACCCAAGTTTGAACTTGAATCTGCTTTCTTGAAAACTTCTGCTGGTGCTTGCTGGGAAGTTTTTCATGGGCAGCTGATATATGGGAATGGAAGCCAGGCTGTTGAGGGCTTTGCCATGCTCCCTGCCCTCAGGGGGCCTCAGTGCCCATGGCTGTGAGGGGAGGTGGTTGGATGGAATGGTGATGATTCACTGTGGGGGGAGGGAAACCGAGGCATGAATGGCTTCTTGCTTCTTGATGGTTTCCCTGCTGCAGCAAAAGCTTATTGGGGCAGGGTGGGGCGGGGTAGGGTGGGGTGGGGTGAAGGCCACTGGGAACTTGCAACTTCCCGGGGCAGCTGGCCTAGCAGGGCCCTCCCTTGCCACAGCTGAATTAGTAAGTACTCCAGGTTTTCCACCCTGCCTGAGACTGGGGTCTTCCCAAGGGACTTGGTCCAAAAGTAAGCTCTGTCCACATGAGGGTGGTGCATCACCCTTGGCAAGGCCGGAGTCCTGAGCGTTCCTCAGGAGTAGCCCTCTCCTCTTCTGTGTCTGTCCTCCGTGTCTGAGCTTGTACTCTGCCCCCCTGAGCTGATCACCAAAAATTCTGCCCCCAGCTGTGTGTAATGGTGCATGCCTGTAACCTCAGCGTGTGTGAGGCTGAGGCAGGAGAGTGAGAGTTTGAGAGGCAGCAAAATCTTCCTGGCTACCTGGGGGAGGTGGGGGTGGGGAGGACCTTGGATGAGAACCAGAAACTCTGGGCACAAGTTCTGGCCTTATTAGTCGTGGCCTTGTGACCTTGAACAAATGACTTTCTCTCTTTGATCGTGTCTCTTCATTTGAAAATGAAACCTTGTTCTGGCCACTCGTTTCTCCTACCAGGCCAGAGAGCATAAACACTTCAGCTTTTATTAAGATAATTATGAGAATGAAAGAATGTGGGTTAAGTTTCCAAGTTTTCCCCTTTTCTGAGTCTTAGGAAATGCCGACTAAACACTGCTTCTTCCAGGCAGTTTTCCGGAATTCCTCCTAGCTGAAAGTGATCAGTGGCTTATGTGAATGGTTCTGAGAAGGCTCATCTATGGCCTGTAGGGCCCCCACTATATAGAACTAAACATCAACTTGGCGGGGAGAAGCCATGGTGAACCTATAATGGGGCCCTCTAACCTTCCAAGGGAGTCCCAAATACACTTCATGACTGTATTTCAGGCAGGGATATTATGAGCTTTGCAAGTTTTCATATATGTAAAATGGGGCTGGTATGTCACTCACAGCAAGGGCTTTGGGGGAATAAGTGAGATAATGCATTGAGGCACTTAGCCTGGAGCCTGGTACATCTCAAATGCCCAACAATAGCTCACTGATTAATAATGAAGGAGATGGCAGAGGACTCTCACGTTTCTAAGAGATCTCCAGGCTTGGGAGCAGCTGCGTTCCTGGAGAGACACCTCTGCCAACCATGGGCATCATTATCCCAAAGCTCAGAGAGGTCTGGGAACAGATGTTTGGGGTGTGAAGGCTTCAGATCTGTCCTGAGAGTGGCTCCCCTGCCCTCGGCGTGGCATCTAGCCAGCGGCTGTGTCTCTTCTTCTGCCAGGGGCTGCGCAGTTGAGCTGTTGAGCCACGGTGCCTGGCTCGTCCGCACCCCAGCAGTGTGAGAACAAATTGTGCCCGCCAGATTGGCCCCACAGCCAGACCACAACTCACCTCGACAGCCAGGCAGTGAGACAACCACCAGCCAGAGCGGCTTCTTGTCCCGTCCTTCCCTGTCCCCCAGACGAGCATCCCACACTGTACGAACCCCACCCGACTCCAGGCATGACACTGGGGGCAAAGCTCCACAGGCAGAGCAGAACATGGATATGGCTCTGGCTGTGTGACCCTGGGTGACTTTCTCTCTGTCTCTGGGCTCATTTGCCTCTCCTGCCATTCCACGTCCTCAGAACCTATCAGATCTGCCTCAGGGAGTAAAGGAGACAAATGCTTGGGAGAGTATTCTGGAACCTGTGGAGTGCGCAACTGGGAGGGGCCCTTGGGAAAGCACCTGAGAACACAGGCCAAGAAGCAGGGTCCTGTGGGGGCGGGGAGCCATTCATAGCCACCACTGGAAGAAGGAACCCTTCTACCCCACCACCCCACCCCTTAGCAACTTGCCTTGGATTCCATTCAAGACAGCAGCTTTTCAGGAAAACCCAGTGCCCACCTGCCTGGTATCCTCTGCCTACAAAACAGCCACCCTGCCCCACCCTGCCCCACCCTGCTAGCCATGGCCCCCAGGCACTGCCCTGGATCCTCATCTGGCACCCTGAGGTGCGTCCAGCTCCCCCACAGTGCTTTTCCCCCTTCATCCTTCTGCTCCTGCCCAGCTCCCTGTTCCCAAGAGGAGCAGGGCTCAGAACGTAGCTTTAGCCATAAGTACACCCCCATCTCGAGTGACTCATTCAGGCCTGACCAGAGGTTCCTACCAGGGGCAGAACGAGTGCCTGACCTTTGGGGCGGATGGCCAGGCTGGCCCCCACTCCCTACCAAGAGCCAGGGTCACTAATCAAAAACTCTTACCCTTAGGATAAAAACTTAACTTTGCCTTCAAAATCGTCCCCCAAGGGCACTCCTGTGACTGACTTCTGTTTGACAACTGGGTTTGAGAAGTTTCGAGGAGCCTTTTGAGGAGGCTGTGGCCACTGGGCATTTCTGACTCTGTATTTGTGCCACTGTCATGTCAGGAAGGGAAACTGAGGCTCAGAGGGAAGCACATTCCATGTGAAGCCTCAGCCTGAGGTACTGTCTCAAACCAGACGAGGCACAGGAGGGAACGGGAGGTGCTGGCCGGGAGATGCCCTGGGGACAGAAGCCCTTTATTGTGGGGCCAAGGGTAAACCATCCCTTTGTCTGTTTTATTGTCACTGGGTGAAAAGGCAAAGGAGCCCCGAAGACCTGCTGACGTGGGTGCCTAGCTTGGAGGACTGCCAGCTAGGGTGGAGCCAGTCCCAGGGGACCCTGGATTTCTGGGAAGTCACCGGGAGTTTGGCCAACCCTGTCCCCCGGCAGCAGGGCAGCATCCTGCCTAGTTTGGCTTTGTAAAGAAGGTGAAAAGAATTGCCCATTGCTCCCTCTAGTTGGGAGTCTCTGGTTGGGGTGGGGGGGCCTCTGCCAGTCCCTCTGGGTACCAACACACACGGGGGCTACTCTCTGGGGCCGAGTCTTTGGGTACCCTCTCCCAGTACCTGTTGGTTCAAGCAGTCAGCACTCATATCCTGAGTGTACACACTCTAGAGGCCGCCTCTCTGGGCACTCACTAGGGCTGTCTCCTCCTCTCCCTGTCTCCAGTCCCGAATCCACCACAGATGTAAATAAAGGTTCTTAGTATCCATGTGGTTCAGTCCTTAGGTTGTCTGGATAAAGCCACAGAGGAGCAGAAAGGGAAGGCCACATGCTCCCGGCCTACAGCTGGTGACATGCCCAGGCGGCCGCCCAGGATACCTGATTCTAAAACCGCGTTCTACCTGCGCACACAGCCGGGGCTGGCAGCTCATCACGAGAAGCAGCTTCACTAAGAGGTGGGTTTGGGATGGACTAGAAGCACAGAAGCCACCAGGACCGGCAAGATGGCTCAGTGGGTAAAGGCATTTGCTGCCAACCCTGACGACCTGAGTTTGACTCCTAGGACCCACATGGTAGAAGGAGAGAACCAACTCCCACGAGTTCCTCTGAGTTCTACACATATACCATAGAACACACACACACACACACACACACACACACACACACACACAAATAGGCGTAATTTAAAAAAAAATCTCTTTAAAAAAAGAATTTGACTGAGGAAGCCATGGTGGACATAATTGTTAATTATTATTAGTAAATATTAATAAATATTTCAGGGCACCAAGAAACTAAAAGATGGCATTGGAAGCCTCACATGTCTGTTCTTTTTAGTTCCTGGTGTCAGGCACTCGGACGCTGGTTGTAGCTCTGGCTTTCAGAGACCTGTGGGGCCTGGTGGGGTTGTTTCTGCCCCTGCCCCTCTTACTGGTCTCTCCTCCCAGTGGCCTGGCTCCCTCTACACAAGGCAGAACTCTGAGTGCTGGCTAATAGCCTGGTCTTGGCCACCTGCTCCCCACGGCCTCGGGAGTGTGTGAGCTGCTGCCTGCCTCCTACCCTTGGCCTAGCTGGCCCCAAAGTGGGCCCCTAGCCATAGCCTCAGTGGAGTAAAGTGTATGGGTCTTCCCTGAGCTTGGCTGTGACTAGCTTTCTACCCCACCTTTAAAACAAAACAAAACAAAAACCCTCAAAAAGTGTACTGAATGTCTTTTAGTGTTTTCTCTGTTCACCCACCACTCATAGGATCAAAGACTCCGTTTGTGAAGTGTTGATCAAATGTGGTGTTTTACTACACAGAACAGGCGCCAAGTAGATGATTGTTAAGACTCTAATTAGTTTATTTCCCCCATCAAAATCAATTAAGAGCACACCTGTCAATCAGAACTTCAGATTAGCATGGGATAATTGATTCTGCGAGGCCGAAGGAAGTTACCCTTGTATGTGGGAAAGCTGCAGACAGGTAGGACGTCCGCAGTTCACTGAGACACAAAGAGCACAGACCC